TATATATATATATATATATATATATATATATGTATATGTATATGTATATGTATATGTATATGTATATGTATATATAACTGATTCCAGTAAACAATATGTATTTATTTTAATATTAGACTCAAATTTGATTTAGGGTTACTACACCCGTCCCCACGCACCAATCACGCCTTGTCCCACCAGCTTTTCTTGTGTAGGCAAGTCTCTCACAGACAAATGGATGAGGACCCACATGGACGGTCAAGTGTGGTAATTAATACGTAGAAGACGGCGGGGAGAACGGGATGGCAAAGTTTAATGTGATCCAGAAGCAGCGGAGAGCGAAAGGTCCAGGAACGGAAGCGGGCGGTGCACGGGGAGCCGAACACCACCGGCAAGCTGAGGGTGCAAACTCCACCTGTCTCCATCTCTGGCAAGCGCAAGCGGAAGCTCTTCAAGAAATGGCGGAGGGTAATGGTTTCGCCTACTTAAACCATCTATTTTCATCAAAATTTTCGGTTTTTGTCTTGGTTTACAGCGCAACTAGTCGTCAAAGGTTTGATGTTGTGAACGCCTAGGAGCAAAAAGAAGCACTGGAGAAGGGGTTGGTCACGATGGAGGACGTCGAGATGGCGGTGGCTGAGGGTGAGCAATTCGCTTGTCGCACGTACTTTTGCATCTACGGTTTGGTTTGTTTATTTTTTGTCGTGAAACGAAAGGAACCAATTACTAACGTGACTCCAAACTTGCGTTGTTTTAAACTATCTTACTCTGTCAGCAATTAGATTTCTGGTGGAAAACCTTTGGATATGCACATGTGCTACTTTCTGTTGTTATGTTGATCTTGTGATAGAAACTTGAGTTTCTTGGAGAAGTATTGGATTTTTTTATTTGATAGCACCATCAGCACACACACGTTTCCGATGTATCACAAACTGGATAGAGGGTATGATGGTCTCATGATATTTTTAGTCATAGGATCAACTGCATTTAAAGGAGTTAAGTTTCTTACTGTATCTATTAATTGGAGAGAGCTGAACTTGAATCTTGCAAGTGAGCAATGTATTATGCTTCTGCGGAACCATAAGATGATGATCTATCTGTTTTATGACACTATTCGTTTTTTGCCTTCCCCAATCACGAACAAGTGATGATTGTGCAGATCAATGCCATCATGATTGCTTGCATGTATATGTTTATCTTTTTAAGGATTATGGTAATCTTATGATTGGAAGTACTCAATAGTTTATATTGGGTGCCTCTTTCTTTTCTTCCCTTTTTACACTTTCTTTGTACTTCTTGGGCTAGCATCACCTAAAGAAAAAGAAGGGCAATAACGAGATGCATAATATGAATTACATGATTTTTTTTTTCTAAAATCTAATAACATATTAGATAAGCTTCAAATATTTAATTTCGCATGACAGTTAAGTGGCTGATTACTGTTTACAGCCTTCTAGAAAGGGCCACCACCTACTTTGTGCATGCGATGCTATTTCAGACTAGTACCTTGCATTGTTTTATTGGGTTGGGCATATCTTTTCTCTTGATATGTTTATTTTTTTTCTTTTTGTTACCACACATGCCCTTGAATTTGCTTATCTTTTCTTGCATCTCTTTCTTGTGGATGATTTTCTTGAACACTTTATTTTACGTGATGTTGGTCTATTGCAATGTAAATGTTAGGATCAAGTCGGCACTAAGAGGGGGGAGGGGGGGGGGGGGGGGGTTGAGTTAGTGCTTACGATAAAAATTTCGTCGATTCAGAAAACTTCAATGATTTTGAAAAGCTTGATTCGATGAAAGGGGGGGTTGAGTTAGTGCTTACGATAAAAATTTCGTCGATTCAGAAAACTTCAATGATTTTGAAAAGCTTGATTCGATGAAACCTGTATCGGAAATGATATCGAAAGTGTGTTTCACTTGAAGCAAATGTAATAAGTAATTAAAACAGAGAACAACAGTAATGAAGAGCAAAAGGAGAGTGCACACCAAATTTATAGTGGTTCGGTCATCGTGACTTACATCCACTCCCGATTCCTCTTCCATTGAGGCCACCAGCGTTCACTAATGATCTTCCTTCAATGGGCGAAGACCAATCACCCTCTTACAACACTTTCTTTTTTTTACAGGTTTAAGAGACAGCCTTTTACAAGCCTCACACATCTCTTAGATTGATCACAAAGCTAAAGGAGGAGGAGGATATTAGCACTTTTTCAACACTAACACACTCTAAAATCTCAAGACTTTTGTTCACACTTTCGTGCTCTTTCATGCAGGAAAGAGTAAGGTATTTATAGGCCCTAATGGTTTAGAAAATTGGAGCAAAAAAGTATCACATCCCGGGTTTCCGGGGTACTAGCGGTACCACCGCCAATACTGGGCGGTACCATCTCCTGCAGACTGACACTGGGCGGTATGATCGCTTGATAGAGCCTCAGAGATCGGGCTCTAGCGGTACCACCGCTTGACAGCATTAACTGCCGACGGTACCATCGCCCAATATAGGCGGTATCACCGCCTGACGTGGCTCCAAGTGGCTGAATGGGCCATCCAACCGGCCCAATTCAACCCTGTTAAAGGGCCCAGTTGGCCCCTAATTGAGTTAGTAGGATTTCTCTGATAACTAACCCAAATTAAAGTCCTAACTATGATAGTTAAGGCTAAAACAATTATGATACAAGTAATCTAAGTTGTTCGACATGTCAATTGTTCAACCGAACTCTCGTTGAACTTCCGGCAAACTCCTGGCGATCTTCCGACGAGCTTTCGACGAACTCTCGGCGAACTTCTGGTGAACTTCCGCGCGAGCTTTCGACGAACTCTCGATGAGCTTTCACTGCATCGTTCGATCCTTCGGTGTATCCCTCGATTCATCCGGCCCGATCATTGACTCTAGCTCAACTTTGATTCTTCTTTAATTGTTTTGCCTTTCTCATGATCGTAGTTAGTCCAGTATCGCTTATCTCAACACATGGATTAGATCTTTAATTCACCAATAGATTTCATCATCAAAATCCGAGATTTAACAATCTCTCTCTTTTTGATGATGATAACCAATTGATGATGGAGTTGACCTTAACTCTCTTTATCTATATGCCATATTGAGATATAACAAACTTGAATTCAAAAGGAATCAAAACCCTTGAATTCAAGTGAAACAATTTCGATCATAGTGCAATAAATCAAAATTTGATACATGTGCATTATCATAGTTTCAAGTCATCAAAATATAGCATGTACAATTTCATCATGTCATAAATGATAATAAATTACTTTGGGCATAACCTACATGATACTAATGCATTCATCACTTTATGCATGATACCAAATTTAACATACATGATACTAAAGCATTTTTTGACTATTTATCATTTCGTGTATGATATCACATTCAACATCATTGTGGTATGATTCCAAACATTAACCATTTATCACTTCATGCATGATACCACATTCAACCATTCATCATTTTGGCATAATATCACATTTAATATCATTTTGGCATGATTCCAAACATTCATAATTTCTCCCCCTTTGTCATCAACAAAAAGGAGAATCATTCAATAAAAAGGAGAACCATTTATGCAAGTATTTTAAACAATTCAAGTAAGTTTTACACCAATTTATGCAACTTTGTATGATAACTACTATTGTTTCTTGAAATGGGCAAGCTAGCATTTTGCTTTAGATATACAAGCACTTTTTGGTTCTTCTTGAGATGTGCAAGTTTCTTTCTTTCTTTTGTCATAAAAATAAAAAGAAGAAGAAGAAGAAGAAGGGAGGAATTCATTCATCACAAGAAAAAATCAAGTTATAAGATGAAAAGATTTGAATCAAATCAAATCCATGAAAAAATAAGTTTCATTTAATCAAGCTTCTACTTTCGC